AACACATTCACAGCATAGAAATGGCAGGCCTTGTTCACTAGAGCACCGTGTACACTGAATATTGAGTTGATGAAGCATAGCTCACAGCCATGTAGAGAACAGCAGGATCTGTGGCTCAGGGCTCCATGTTGAAGAGTGGGCGGACATTGGCTGTCAATAGCCTTTATGCACACTGAACAAGAGATGGAAGGAATAATCCAGAGGGAGAGAGGAAAGAGAAATAGCAATATCACAGCAATTCACGTGTCAAACAGAGAGAAGCAGAAAGGAAAGAGGAGAGAAAGAGAGCTAAATCAATACTGTTTCATATGCAGTGCATGTAAAAGTCAGATCATGCAGGACAGGAGGGGTAGGATGAGTGGGGAGGAGAGGAAATTTCAGACACAAATAAGTACAGTGGTATTGGTGTCCTTGTTTGTTTCGAAGGAATTCATTCTCATTCTCCATATCAGTTACACATACACACACACACACACATACACACACTGGGCACTGTGAATACCACTGCCTTAATTAGATCTTGCATTATTCACAGAGCATTAAACCCCAACAGCATAATACAATTGTTTGGTATTACTACTGTGTTATTTTCAAAATTATGCAAGTGGTTACCAATGATTCTGAGCAAAGTTCTTTGACAGTGAAAATGGGCTGAATATTATTAAAAAGTTAGGTGTTTAAGTTTGAGCTTACTGCAATGATGTTAGGATAGCACTTAGGTAACATTTAGATTGCAGTGCATTGATGTTTAGGTTACCGCTCAAACAATGTTCAAGTTAAGAGCCATGACATTTACATTAGCATTCAGACTGTTTAGGTTCAGAGCAGTGCCGGTTACGTTAGCATTCAAATGACGTTTAGGTTTCATGCAGTGACATTTACATTAGCATTCAGAATGTGTTTAGGTTCAGTGCAGTGACGTTTATGTTAGCCTTCAGAATGTGTTTAGATTCAGTGCAGTGACGTTTACGTTAGCGTTCAGAATGTGTTTAGATTCAAGGCAGTGACGTTTACGTTAGCGTTCAGAATGTGTTTAGATTCAAGGCAGTGACGTTTACGTTAGCGTTCAGAATGTGTTTAGATTCAAGGCAGTGACGTTTACGTTAGCGTTCAGAATGTGTTTAGATTCAAGGCAGTGACGTTTACGTTAGCGTTCAGAATGTGTTTAGATTCAAGGCAGTGACGTTTACGTTAGCGTTCAGAATGTGTTTAGATTCAAGGCAGTGACGTTTACGTTAGCGTTCAGAATGTGTTTAGATTCAAGGCAGTGACGTTTACGTTAGCGTTCAGAATGTGTTTAGATTCAAGGCAGTGACGTTTACGTTAGCGTTCAGAATGTGTTTAGATTCAAGGCAGTGACGTTTACGTTAGCGTTCAGAATGTGTTTAGATTCAAGGCAGTGACGTTTACGTTAGCGTTCAGAATGTGTTTAGATTCAAGGCAGTGACGTTTACGTTAGCGTTCAGAATGTGTTTAGATTCAAGGCAGTGACGTTTACGTTAGCGTTCAGAATGTGTTTAGATTCAAGGCAGTGACGTTTACGTTAGCGTTCAGAATGTGTTTAGATTCAAGGCAGTGACGTTTACGTTAGCGTTCAGAATGTGTTTAGGTTCAGTGCAGTGACGTTTACGCTCAGAATGTGTTTAGGTTCAGTGCAGTGACGTTTACGTTAGCATTCAGAATGTGTTTAGGTTCAGTGCAGTGACCTTTACGTTAGCGTTCAGAATGTGTTTAGATTCAATGCAGTGACGTTTAAGTTAGCCTTCAGAATGTGTTTAGGTTCAGTGCAGTGACCTTTACATTAGCGTTCAGAATGTGTTTAGATTCAATGCATTGACGTTTAAGTTAGCATTCAGAATGCGTTTAGGTTCAGTGCAGTGACGTTTACGTTAGCTTTCAGAATGTGATTAGATTCAATGCAGTGACGTTTACGTTAGCGTTCAGAATGCGTTTAGGTTCAGCGCAGTGACATTTACGTTAGCGTTCAGAATGTGTTTAGGTTCAGTGCAGTGACCTTTACGTTAGCGTTCAGAATGTGTTTAGATTCAATGCAGTGACGTTTAAGTTAGCCTTCAGAATGCGTTTAGGTTCAGTGCAGTGACCTTTACATTAGCGTTCAGAATGTGTTTAGATTCAGTGCAGTGACGTTTACATTAGCGTTCAGAATGTATTTAGGTTCAGTGAAGTGGCTTTTATGTTAGTGTTCAGACGAAGTTTAGGTTTAGTACAGTAATGTTTACATCAGCACTAAGACTATGTTTAGGTTCAGTGCAGTGGCATTTAAATTAGCGTATAAAATGTGTTTAGGTTCTGTACAGTAATGGTTATGTTAATAGACTGTATTTTGGTTCAATGCAGGTCATGCAGGCATGAATTAATTAGGAGCTATTGTCATTATGGAGGGAACGTCGGTTTTTTGCTCAAACAATGTTTAGGTTAAGCACAGTGACATTTCATTGAGTGTTTATGCAGTGTTTAGGTGACTTATAAGTTGTTGTTATTCAGTGTTAGGTTGTGTAAAAAAGCATATGTTTATGTAAGGTGACTCCATTAAGCTAAAAGCTCTTAATCTTGAACTAAAAGTTCCTATATGCATGACCTTTGTTTCTTCTACCCTTCACTCTCATTGGTTCAGAAACCCTAAGCAACAGCGGACATGGATTTTCCTTTAGTTGCTTATACGTGGTTGTTGAAATCTGCTGAAATGACCGCAGATGGAATCTCATAATCTGTGCACTTGTGAGACCTTGATTCTCAGTGGACAAACACACACATACAGTACTCAATCTAATACACATTCTTTCACACTCTTTGGCATTTCATACCAACCGGAAAAATAGCCTGTTTAAATGAAACCCATAAAACACAGAAGCCCTCCCACGGGAAACACTCATGCCCTGCATAAATAATTCCAGACGTTCATGAATATTTGAAGATTCCATACCTATGACAGGTACAAAGAATGTTAGAGAAATGCAACTAAGTGCACAAGAGAGATCTACAGCCTGAGAGAGAGAGAGAGAGAGAGAGAGAGAGAGTGTGTGTGTGTGTGTGTGTGTGTGTGTGTGTGAGTGACAGAGAGAAAGATAGAGTGAAGGAAATGTTTTTGTCCTCTAAGAGGAACTCTGAGAGACAAGAGCTGTGAACAGTTATTGATAGTGTTTCAGGATGGCCACAAAAAAAAAAAAAGAGGAAGGGAACTCTTTGCAAAGTTCTAGTAAGTTCACTGAAACACACCCAGAGCATCTTGCCCAGGCAGATGCCAGCCAGTAGAAAAGACACCACTTTGATACCTGTCCAACTGTGATGTCATCACATCCAGTCCACACAGCAGGGGGCAACAGATGGTTTGTGTCATCTGCTATCTACCACGGGTGCTTTCTAAAACATCTTCCGCTTCGCAAAAGATGTGGTGATTGAAGATGAAAAGATGAACACATAAGAGCGGGAATAAAAGTGAAGGAGGTTTCTTTCAAATGTTTCCACGACAACGGCATCTGTGTGTGTGTGTGTGTGTGTGTGTGTGTGTTCTGGCATCAATCCGTGTTGCACTCCTTGTGATTTTGATCTTGATGAAGGTCAAACAACAGGCAGTTTAACTCACTCAAAGGCATGAAAGCAACTCATTCCCTTTCCATCATTTCACTCCTCATCAGGCTGCCAGCTTTTCCTTTTTTGTTTCCACCTTTCTTCATCCTCACATCACAAATCCATAGAGAGCATAAGCCATTTAACGGCACATTACCATAATGCATCGGACACTAAAGCCAAACATTAGCTCACTACCACTTGCTCCAAATTTACATGTAACATTAAGCCACTACAAATGTGCATCACATATTTTGTTTTCAGTCATTCACTGCACTGCACCCCTGCAGCTTTGCTTGTAAACAAAACCCTGGTATTCTTGTGACTGAGCTAAAAGAATTGGTAATTACAGACAACAAAATGACCCCACAAACAGTGTCTCAGACACACGCAATTCACTTAAATGACTGAGCAGACAGAGTGGGTGGCAGAGATGAAAAATTTTACATCTACACAGGAATATCTTTAGGATTTCAACAAGCTTTTTAAAAATATATAGTTAACACTTTGTTTTGATAGTCCACTTTAGACATTCTAGTAACTATAAGCTCATATTGTGTTAAAACAACCAAATTTCAGAAACTTGCCTGGCTCAAAATTTTGATTTTGTTAATACTTTTCTTAAGAAACACAAACATAAATAGTGAATAAAGCCAAAATATTAAATGTCATGAATGTATATTTACTAAGTAATCCACTATTTTATAGAGGGAGTCAGAATACAATTTTCAAAAAGTCAAATTAAAGGGGGTAAAAATGACTTTAGAATGATGGTGGCATCATTGTTATTTTTACACAGTGATTGGTAGGTCTATTAGTAAGATCTGTTGCATTATGGTGACATTTCAAAAATGTGGAAAAAGCACTTTTTAAACTAAATTTGCATGCCTTTAACTCAAGAATAAACATTTCTCAAAATCTAACTTTTTAGCCAGAAACCTCTGGTTGAGTTGACACGGAATGAGCCTATAACCCACTTTTCAACTACATGTCAACTAACAGTCATTAGAGTATTAGTAGACCGTTTGCTTAATATCTGCTAACACTTCATTTGGATGGTCCCCAACAGACATTCTACTGATTATACTATTATTAACTTTGCAAGTACGTCAACTTATTCAACTAACCCTAACCTAGCAGTCTACTAATAGTCTAATACGAGTTAGTTGACATGTAGTTGCTTTTAAATAATAAGTTATTTATAGTTAGTAGAATGTCTAAAGTGAACTATTAAAATCAAGCGTAACCAAAATATAACATATGAAAGTGCAATTCACTATATGTTGCATATTGTTGGGATAGAAAAGAGAAACACAATGATTTTCTCATGAAAGAAGGTTTGAGGATTGTTAGTGTGGTGTCATGAGTGCATCACCTCAGCCCTACCCATAACCCCCTCTGCCCCCACACACCTTCCACATCATCTCGGCCTGCTCTGTATTCTGGTCGCGCTGCCGTGTGCCCTCTCTCTCTATCTCTCTTTCCAGCAGTGATGGCTGAAGAACAGAGGGAGGGAGACAAGTGTCAGAGGGAGACCAGTCAATTACCATTTCAGTGCAAACACACACTTTCACGCTTTCAGAGTGACACAACAAACTCGTGCACACATACTGTACATATATATGACATTTTTGTGCCAGGAACACCAGAGGATCATTAACCTTGTGCTGAAGGCCACTATTTAAACATTTACAGATTAGATGCAGCTGTGTGAATGTGCGTTTGAGAAAGAGTCAAGCAAATCCATGAGTGTTTAAATATGCAGCTGGTACTGGATGTTTCCTTCCCTCTGTCACTCAATATTAAACATCATCCTGCAAGCACACAGACTACATGAGTAACTTTGCTCTCGTCCTCATCTCTATACTACAGTATGACCTCATACATGACAGACAACTTAATCTGTTGGCACTTTATGTCTCAGAGCTGATTTTTAATAAAACTAGCTTTTTCCCCCTTTTTGTTATATTAAGGTCACACAACTTTTTATTATGCATTGATTATTTCCTATTTTTATGTATATTATTGTTGTACTATCACAGAACCCGATTTTCAACCTTACAATATGAAAACCCATCATATAAATATTAAATAGTAACATTTTGAAACAATGATAATCTAAAGCAAAGTGCAATAAATGATTTCAGAAGCTTTTGTGTGACATTTGAGAAAAAGATTTATATAAACATTTACAAAAATGATCACAGTCCCTCTGTTATTATGGCATCATATTCACCACAATCAAACACAATCAAGCTGTAATTTTGCTTGTTTTCCAAATCATGCAAAAATATTTATATATATATATATATATATATATAATTTAAATATTATGTATTTTTATTATAAAATTGGCATTCATCATTTAGTCAATTAAAATATTTAAAATGTCATTTATATTACAGTCATTTCCACAACAGTATGCTGTTAAACACAACACTTACACCATTCAAAAGTTTGGGGTAAAGTCTCTTATTCTCACCCAGGCTGCATTTATTTAATCAGAAATACAGTAAATACAGAACTACTGTGAAATATTATTGCAATTTAAATATTGAAAATATATTATAAATAACTTACACAATATTTTAAAGTGTAATTTGTTTCTGTGTTTTTCAGCATCATTACTCCAGTGTTACATGATCTTCAGAAATCATTCTAATATGCTGACTTGCTGCTCAAGAAACATTTCTTATTATTATCAATGTTGAAAACAGTTGTGCTTTTTAATATGCTTGAGAAAACCATGCATTTTTTTCAGGAGTCTTGGATAAATATAAAGTTAAAAATACAACATTTACAGTGGGGAAAAAAGTATTTAGTCAGCCACCAATTGTGCAAGTTCTCCCACTTAAAAAGATGAGAGAGGCCTGTAATTTTCATCATAGGTATACCTCAACTATGAGAGACAAAATGAGAAAAAAAATCCAGAAAATCACATTGTAGGATTTTTAAATAATTTATTTGCAAATTATGGTGGAAAATAAGTATTTGGTCAATAACAAAATTTCATCTCAATACTTTGTTATATACCCTTTGTTGGCAATGACAGAGGTCAAACGTTTTCTGTAAGTCTTCACAAGGTTTTCACACACTGTTGCTGGTATTTTGGCCCATTCCTCCATGCAGATCTCCTCTAGAGCAGTAATGTTTTGGGGCTGTCGCTGGGCAACACGGATTTTCAACTCCCTCCAAAGATTTTCTATGGGGTTGAGATCTGGAGACTGGCTAGGCCACTCCAGGACCTTGAAATGCTTCTTACGAAGCCACTCCTTCGTTGCCCGGGCGGTGTGTTTGGGATCATTGTCATGCTGAAAGACCCAGCCACGTTTCATCTTCAATGCCCTTGCTGATGGAAGGAGGTTTTCACTCAAAATCTCACGATACATGGCCCCATTCATTCGTTCGTTTACACGGATCAGTCGTCCTGGTCCCTTTGCAGAAAAACAGCCCCAAAGCATGATATTTCCACCCCCATGCTTCACAGTAGGTATGGTGCTCTTTGGATGCAACTCAGCATTCTTTCTCCTCCAAACACGACAAGTTGAGTTTTTACCAAAAAGTTATATTTTGGTTTCATCTGACCATATGACATTCTCCCAATCCTCTTCTGGATCATCCAAATGCTCTCCAGCAAACTTCAGACGGGCCTGGACATGTACTGGCTTAAGCAGGGGGACACATCTGGCACTGCAGGATTTGAGTCCCTGGCAGCGCAGTGTGTTACTGATGGTAGCCTTTGTTACTTTGGTCCCAGCTCTCTGCAGGTCATTCACTAGGTCCCCCCGTGTGGTTCTGGGATTTTTGCTCACAGTTCTTGTGATCATTTTGACCCCACAGGGTGAGATCTTGCGTGGAGCCCCAGATCGAGGGAGATTATCAGTGATCTTGTATGTCTTCCATTTTCTAATAAGTGCTCCCACAGTTGATTTCTTCACACCAAGCTGCTAACCTATTGCAGATTCAGTCTTCCCAGCCTGGTGCAGGTCTACAATTTTGTTTCTGGTGTCCTTTGACAGCTCTTTGGTCTTGGCCATGGTGGAGTTTGGAGTGTGACTGTTTGAGGTTGTGGACAGATGTCTTTTATACTGATAACAAGTTCAAACAGATGCCATTAATACAGGTAACCAGTGGAGGACAGAGGAGCCTCTTAAAGAAGAAGTTACAGGTCTGTGAGAGCCAGAAATCTTGCTTGTTTGTAGGTGACCAAATACTTATTTTACAGAGGAATTTACCAATTAATTCTTTAAAAATCCTACAATGTGATTTTCTGGATTTTCTTTTCTCATTTTGTCTCTCATAGTTGAGGTATACCTATGATGAAAATACAGGCCTCTCTCATCTTTTTAAGTGGGAGAACTTGCACAATTGGTGGCTGAATAAATACTTTTTTGCCCCACTGTATAAAATAACATTTGCATATTCTTCGCTCTGTGTTGCACCTTGATTTTTCATAGCCATTTGAAATTAGAGGCAACCACTGCATTTTAATCATGTATTTTGTTTGTTTTATATTAGACCATATAATTTCAAAATCTGAAGCAAAAACAAAATAACCTGACTTTTGTTTTGCTTCATAAAACATCTGTATGACCAGGGGCGGACTTACCCATTAGGCAAAGGTAGGCGACAGCCTTGGGCCCCCAAAAGCCAAGGGCCCCCTAAAATGCTTTTCATATAGGATATGCGCATTAAGTGCTGACACGCGAACGGTTGCTGTTTACGGTGTTTGTTACGACAACCCTCCGAGACTCCGAGTTGAACGTGCTTTTTGTGTACCCTGCTTGAGGGAGATGAAAATATTATGCATCTGAAGCTGTAATTAAATACTGAGAAACGGTGTGTATTATAAGTTTATAATTGTTTTAAATGCCGCTTACTCATTTATGAGGACACAGTTACTTTTTTAGTTGATATAATGTGTGTAAATGTATAATTGCCTTTTCATTATTTTTTCTGTTTTATTTAAATTTGTAGTTAAAATAACTAAAAATAAATGTATTTTAAAGTTTAGAATTAGACAGCCTTTGCACACAGGCTTACGCTGGTAACTCATCAGTGGATTTTCCTCGTCAGTATAGGCTATATTTTGTTTTACACTTTTCTCATTCTATATTTCTGACATTCCAAAAGTGCCTCCTACTGGCAGAGAATGAATGTTCATTTTCAATAATCCAGTCTGTAGTTTTTGTTCAGATCAATGCGAAAATCCACCCACATAACCCTGTTTTAAATTAATATCATAATTTATACTTCTGGCTCACCCCTGGTTTAAATGCTCAATTGTGAGGTTTATTATTTTATAATTTTTGATTTTGTGAAAACCTGAATCTCAACTGTAAATCAGTTGCTATTTCGTGGTCTACAACATGAAAGAAAACCATTATAACATGTACATGAAAAATGTAGAAATATTGGACACAACTATGGGGCACCATTGTACAGCAGCAAGCATCACTACAAAAAA